GATGGAGAATTACTTTAATTTGAAAGGGCAATTGAGAAAAACTAGCAAGGAAGAACTGTGGCATCTGTCTCCTGCTGTCTTTACATCAGTCAGCATCAGATCATACTTTGGCCAAAGTCAGATTATAAAGACAAACTGTGTGAAGTAGAATAAGGGAGCTAAGGCTGAAAGTAGCTTCTGGCCTTAAAATTCTTAGGGAGAGAAACCTCATCTTACCTTCCTTGATTTTAAACTGTCCCTGCTGCTTAAAGCAGGAATTCAGAAGCTGATGCTATCCTGTTTCTTTCCTGGCAGAAAGTATGTCTCAGCTTCTTTCCACAGTGGGTAAGCCAAGCCTGCCATCCATGTCTTCCTGTTGCATGACTGACTCCTCTTCCTCTTCTTTTTCAGTGAGGAAGAGAAGACTTGCAGAGTTGAACGGGCCTATTTTTCCCAAGTGCAGAACTGGAGTGTAGTTCCTGGCTATGGAGGTCATTCCCGGTGATCTGTGCTACACTGTGGAAATTGAAAGGCAATAAGTGCCTTTACAGAGTATTTGTGGTGCCTCAGTTCTGTTTTATGCGCTAGCAGTTTAAATTAACTAGTGGCTGTAGTGAAAGATTTTATCCAGTAGGACTGTTGATGTTTTCTGTAGAGTTGGAAACTATTCAAGCCAGTAACAACCTGCCAATTTTATGCAATCTCAGTTTAAAGTACATCCCAGTGTAAAAGTGACTCTTAATTAACCTGGGACCTAATTTTTCTATAAACTTCCTGCACGGTGTTTCATACAGTTAGGATGTGGTATGCATGACTGAAAGGTAAAACTGTTCCACACAAATTATAGAAGTATTAAAAAAATACTTTATTTTTTTTCCAAATTGATCTCAAGTAACTAAAGAGGAGCAACTAGTTTAACAAGCACTTCTACTATCTAAAAACATGGTTAATTTCAAGAATTATTAATTACAATTTTTACCGACATTTGCTGAGTCACTTAGTTGGAAATGCTGTTTCAAATGCATCCCTGTGTTTCTTAAAAAAAATTGATCCCCACCCCCTCATTAAATGGAATGTAAGGCCACCAATTATAAAAGAGTCTCAAAAATTGAGTGGTTTAGGATGGGTTAATATCCTTCTATCCTATGCATGTCTGAAAAAAGCAGTCACCTTTAGACCTGTGATGCAAATTCTAACCCCACAGAGATGGCCAAACTAATCAGACCCCTCCCTTCTAATCCCCTCTCCCTTCGGTTGCCTAATGTTAAAAGCATGTGTCCAGATATTCACTGGAAACAAGTCAAATTCCCTCTCTTCACTGTTTTGTCTAGCTGACCATGTCCGTTAATTAAATTTTGTTCTGCTAGGGATTGTTTCTTTTACTGCCACCCCGAATGCCTCCATAAATGCAACAGTTAAGTGTTGTGCCCTAGAAAAGCTGTTAAGTGAAATACCCTAACTCTGCACTTACACTGCATACAGTCTGACAGCTTTTTGTCAGACAAGTCTACTACCCGTCATCTACCCTGGGAAGAATCCCCCACAGGCTTGCATAGCTCCCAGACATGCAGTGGACTGGACCCAGCACTATCCCATCCAAAACTCCCTCTATTAACATGGCTGGGATCCTGCTTGGTAAGAAGAGTTTCCCAGCAGAAGCACTGCCATACTGAAGCCATATTCTTGGTCTGATGACAACATGTCCTAGAAAATGTTCTCACTTCCTAGAAACCTGCCTGTACACTCTGTTGAGAGTGAAGTTTTGCAGCCTTTTACACATATCCCAGCAAAAGTCTCACAGATTTCTTTCAAGCTTGTGCGCAAAAACCACCCACAATTTAGCTCTGACCAATGAAGCGGAGACACACCGTACTTTCAGCAATGTGGGAAACATATTTGTTGCTCTTCAAATCTTAATAAATGCGCCAGTAGTGTCAAATAAATACTTCACTACAGCTTCTTCCCCCACCCTGCAAGTTCCATATCAGAAAATGAAAATAATACAGAAGAAAAATACTTGAAAACATATTTAAAAAAAGAAAAACAACTGGCATACCTCCTGTTTCTTCCATATGCACTGCGAAGACTTCAAAACAGTCAACTAAGTCATCGAACCAAAGCCACACATTTTCAGCTGAGTCATCCACTCAGATTTGCATGGCACAGGCTCAGCTCTTCCATTGCCTTCAGAAGAAGATAAATGAATCTTCTTCTGGGAAATCCCAATGGCACTAAGAAACCCAGACATGCAGAGAGATGCATCTGCAGAGCAGGGAACACTACCATGGGTACCACAACAGCATTTTTTCCTGAATTAAAAAAAGTAGCCCTTAAAAAAAAAAAGAAAAGAAAAAAAAAGGCAATAACCTTGTCCTGTGTTTCACTGTAGCAGTGTCCAGTTTAAAAAGTAGGTTAAGCTGGCAGGATCACTCCAGGTTCCTCAGCTGATCCCTATAGAGCTGCTCTGCTCGAAGATGCATGTGAGAGCTGAGAGGCATCAGGCTTTGTGGTGAAAGGCATCGAACTGTGCAGCAATGGAGCTACAAAATGGTGATAATTAGGAGAAAATGGATCACTGCTTGTCCCAGCAGCTCTCCAGGAAAAGGGAGAAAGAGTCATCTGCTGACTGCAGCATCTGTCAGTCACAACCAATCCAGCTTAACTCTCACCTCTCCCGGAGTTAACGTGCCTTCCATCACTCATTACCACTGAAGTGCCTGGATCCCAGCACACAGCATTTCACATGGCAAGTCCTCATTTGTATTAATCTGACAAAGTTAATCCAGAAGCCAGGATATAGAAGCTGCTCGTGGGCTAACTTGCAAGAGGGAGGCTAAGAATGTCTCTTACTCCACCCTCCCGCTCTACAGCAGAGGAAACCTGGCTTTACAGGCCTGCATCTGTACATCTCAAACCCTTCTCCTCCCTTGCCTTAGTGCAGCAAGGACCAGAAGAGGCCCCATGGCTCCCCTGTGCCTTTGAGGTAGAATCTCCAGCTGCCAGGTGCTCTCAGGAGAATTACACCTTGAAGCGAGGTCCACCACGTGGCAAACAGCTAGCTAGCTTTCAGCATTTACCTCTGCAGAATTAAGTACCTCTAACATACAGGTTAAGTGTATTTGTGCAGTACTTTAAAATATACAATGGAAGCACTGAAGGTTATTTATCATCATGGGAGTTTCCAAAGTTCACATGTATAGTTATTGCATTCTGTTCTGATAAGTGATACAGAAACAGCCTTCCAAACAGATTAGTGTTCCAGACTTGCTGATAGACTGAATTATAAAATTGTGCTCTTTCTAGCCCAAGACATGAAGAAAAGAGAGAGCATAATATGCAAGTGGGGGCACTCCCATCAGTGCTCTAGACCAGGCCTCCAAGCAGAGCTTGCATGTTTTTCCACAAATATTGCAGTCCTCAAAAGCATAGATTAAGTGGCCAGCAAAGCTTGGGAGACAAGATGCCAAGGGACCATGGGTACTGCTTAGACTTCTGCTGAAGATGTTTACTGATAGGAATTTTCCCATTTCTTCTCCCGTACAGATTGTGCACAGATTTACTAAAAAATACCATCCTAGAAAGATTCCCAAAGAAGACATTCATAAGTTTTGCTTCATGAAA